CTACTAGATTTCTAGAAGATAAAAGACTGATGTAACATAATAAAACATCCCTATGAGTATTTTTGTCATACTTTTATTATTTTATTTCAAACTATCAGGCATCGGCAGCCAATAAAGCAACTTAACTGACTTTTTTCTTTCGATTTCAATTAAAGTTATTATTTTGTCGATAAACTATTTTATAGTCTATAGCACTCGGCGGTAATGTAGCTTCTTATGTTATTGAAAAAACTTAAAAAAATTACATTTAAACAAACGATACAAATGAAAGAACACCGACTTCGAAAATAACTTATTAGGTATCTATTCTAGATGAACACCCCCGTTTAGTTATTTTTTTTTTACTTTTTAGTGCCTGTAGTAGGCGTAATAAGCACGTAATTTGTAAGAAGAAAGTTTTTCATAACATATTCGAGTAAGCCATTTATTTAAAAATAGTTTATTGTTTATTTTCTAAGAAACCGCTCAACCGATTTCGATAAAATTTAAATGGGACCACCTGGGAAGTATACCCTTTGAAACAAAAAAAATATTTTCCAAATCGGTTCAGGCGTCTTCGAGTAATCGATGAACATATGTACATGAAAAAAGATTCCGACGTTTTGAGAACCTCCTCCTTTTTGGAAATCGGTTGAAACATAACAGAATCGTATCATCATTAAGACTAGATCTTCTTTTGTTTATTACCATGTACAATTGTAAGGATGTATGCTCTGTTAGCGACCTATGTAATAAATAAATAAAATAAATAAATGAATAAATAAATTAGTAGTTTCAGAGATTACCCCTTACATACAAACTTACAAACTGTACCTCTCTATATAATAGTATTTACATGGGATATCTATGATGTATGTACCTGTACATACATTATATATGGATGATATTAGGTACTACCTAGTACCTACCTATGCATAAATTCAAAAATTCAAAATATTTTATTCAGCATTAAATTATTACAATTTTATACTGAACGTCATGAGTCGACTACCAGTTCGGAAAGAAGAAACCTGAGAAGAACTGGCGAAAGAAACTCAGCGGGACTAATATTAACTTATTATCTATTTTTAAAGTAAAATTATAATTTACAATATTTCTATCAAGTTGAAGTAGCCTGGAAATGAATATAATATTATGATATCATGTTACTCTAAGGTAAGAAACTGAATAACAATCATCATTTTTTTAAAACATCTACTTGTATATTATGCACATGTGTAGGTGTCTCCGACTGCATAATACTGTTTCTTCGTCAACTTGTTCTCATATTTTTAGTTCGCTTTTTACGTAGTCGGTTCTTTTAATTTTTATATTTTTTTTCTTTAAATATTTTAGTATCCTAAATTATTTTTAAACATTTAAATTGTATATATTTTTGTTACTGCCTCTTCAAAGTCTGCATTTTGATATTCTACTGGATCGATTTGGACGAAAAAATTTTTTCAAGACACAAATTGGCGCCTCAGATCCGCCATTTAGAATTTTTATAATATCTTTATTCCCTATGACATTTGTGTTAGGAAGATGAATCTAACGTCGTGTGAATCATTAAAATCGGTTAAGCCGTTTAGTAATTGTGAGGGAATATAGTGTCGGACATACATACATGTTAAACACATAACCCTACTTTGGGATTCGCCGCAGTCGGATAATTATGTTAAAACTACTAATCAAAAACTAGTGATATATATTAATGTAATAAAAAGCGAAATCTTTATGTATGTCTGTGTGCATTTGGCGTAAAAAGTACTAAACGGATTTTAACAAAAAAAAATTTAACATAATTATTTGGATCACAATTTGTATTCTAAATTGTGATCCAAATAATAATTAATCACTGCACAAAATTTTGTTAAAATCCGTTTAGTTCTTATATAACACACAAATAATTTCAACGAGACACAAAAACACAATGAGGTTAGGGTTAGGTAGGTACTGCCGAATTGACGTTCATGCTAAAATTTCAATCTATATATATAAAAGAAAGTCGTGTTAGTTACTTCGCTTATAACTCAAGAACGGCTGAACCGATTTAGCTGAAAATTGGCAGGGAGGTAGTTTAGAGCCAGGAGAAGGACATAGGATACTTTTTATCCCGTTCGACCGCGTTCCAATTTTTATGATATTTTAATTTTGGATTTCTCCTAATTCGGAATAAGTAAGTATTAAAACATATAATTAAAATGTTAGAAAGAAAGATTTTTTCTTTTTATATCTATTTAAAACGTACCTAGCGACGAACCCGAGCGAAGCGAGGGTGAGCCGCTAGTTAATAATAAAAACCAAAATAATATGTAACATATATAACGCGCATTTTAAAATAAAAAAAAATAGTTTGGGCGCATCTATATCTAAACATACTATGAAACTATAAAGCCTCTGTCTGTTTCTCCGCTTAGTACTTCTTCTAAATCGCACAACGGATTTTGATACAGTTTTCACTTACAGAAAGAGTGATAAACAAGGAAGGTTTCTGTATATAATTTGTATATATTTTATACAAAATGGCTGAACTATGGCGGTGTTTTATCCAAAAAACTGTTACGCCCAAACATTGAGAGATTGATAAAAACAATGTAATAGAAAATTGTAGGTTTTAAACAGGGGCGATCTAATTTGAAGTGCCCTGGGCTTACACTTCTTGGGGGCCTAAAGTTTAGGCTCCTAGCTAATTGTCATTTTGTCTTTAGAAAATCTATAATCTAGTCATGGGGTCTCATCAAGAACAAAGAAAAATTAGTTCAAATACATGTTAATGTCAAATACATGTATCGATTTCTTAATATAGTTATGTTAAATTAACAAAAGAAAAAAAATGAACCCAAAAAGGTATAGCTATTATTGTTTTAAAAAATATTCTAAATGAAGGGAAAAGAAATAATGCGCCCATAATTCAAATTTACGTAATTTTACTGATTATTGAAATATCTGCAATCTGATGATGGGTTTGTAGTGTATCTTCACAGATGGCGATTTTACTTTTTATGAATTGCTTATCCCTTTTACAAATTGTTAAAATCACAGAATATTTTTAGGGTTCCGTACCCAAAGGGTATAACGGGACCCTATTACTAAGACTCCGCTGTCCGTCCGTCTGTCTGTCTGTCCGTCTGTCACCAGGCTGTATCTCATGAACCGTGATAGTTAGACAGTTGAAATTTTCACAGATGATGTATTTCTGTTGTCGCTATAACAACAGATACTAAAAAACAAATATAAACATTTAAGGGGGCTCCCATACAACAGACACGATTTTTTTGCCGTTTTTATAGATAATGGTACGGAACCCTCGTGCGCGAGTCTAAATCGCACATGGCCGGTTTACATTTCTATTGGAATGCAGAAGAATATTACAATTTACAATATAATATACTATTCGTTAGTTTTCACATATTTATTAACAACTTATTAACATAAACAATATATAATTATAACAATTCAACAAGAATTATCTATTTCAAGCAAACAAAAACAGCCCGAAGAATAGCCCGAATTAGTACTGCCTCATTTCTTTGTATAAGATCACACATCTGTACTAGTGTAGTATTATGTGATCTGCGCTATAATGATATTGTTAGGTTCTTTATTGATCTGAGAGTTATTAGGCCAACCTTTTATGGCCTTAATTTTTCAATTTTAGATAATATTTTATATTATAAATTCACAATATTATCCATTGTTTTTAATAGGGGGCCCGTTATATATATGGGGCTCTGGGCTGCAACCCAAAAAGTCTATACCTCTGGTCTTAAAGAGGTTTTTTTTTTCTGTAAAAAGTCCGCAATTTCATGTGTGTATCTCCTAAAGTGCATTCACAATAACTTTTTTATATATTTAAAACTAAATACCTAGACGACGCATCTAGAACTCGGGACGCACCTAGCGAAGCGAGGGTAAATCGCGAGTATTAAATAAGTATTAAAAAATATGTTTTTTTTCTGCAAGTAAGTATAAGTCAAAAACAAAGTATCAAATCTTTTTGTTGCTATTGACTAACAGATATAATACGTATAATAAGTCTAATACTTATGAGTTCAAATAATAAAATCTTGCCAGAAGAACAGACGTAACACTTCACCTTATTGCTTTGGCCGGTAGATTACAGGACTGGTTTTTTATGCCAAAAAATCTGTCATCGATTTTTTTTATAAAATAATATACTAAATTATTAACAAATACCACGCGTCGTTTTGTTCATTACGTAATAATAACTTTATATAATAACTAGCTACTCACCCTCGCTTCGCTCGGGTTCGTCCCTAGGTTGATACAAACTTTCATCCTCATTTTCACCCCTTTAAGGGATGATTTCCGGGATAAAAAGTATCCTATTTCCTTCCAAGGGTCTCAAACTATGTTCTTATCAAATTTCATCTCAATCTGTTCAGTAGATCCAGAGATTACCCCCTAAAACGTCACACACTCACAAACTCATAATTCACAAACTTTACCTCTTTATAATATTAGTATAGATAATTTCACAGAAAGCTCGATGATGAAAGGTCGGGATCTGAGGCCATTCTTAATTGTATTTAAAGTGTTTCAATAAAGGTGTGAATATATATAACATTTTTTGAGTAAAAATGAACAAATTTTATATTTTAAGTTATGAAAATGTTTTGAAGTAGGTACCTACCTACATATTAGGAACGGTTAATTCGAACTTTAATATTACTTAAAATGTAAAAAACTAAACGAACGCCACATAATCCTCATAATTCTGAACTGTTTTTAATTTAAATTTAAGATTTGTTTTTTTTTTATATTTTTACTTTATCAATTAACTCGCATGTCATCTAGAGTAAAACTTTCGTTCAAAGCACTTTCGAATGAAACGGTCGATTCATGTAACTATTAAATATTTAGATAATATTTTCTACCAGATAATAGCCCTCTCGGTGCGCGAGTTCCACTTGGAATTGGTTGTTTCACTCTCTCTTTGCACCCAGCAATGATAGACTCCTCATATCAGATGGGTTGTGTGTTAAAAAAATACTCACATCTTTGTCCCACTGAAGATGATAAGGTATTTCATTTCCAAATGGGAAGTCCAAATGGCAGTTCATGACAGCGTAGCCGCCCACACTGGCGTGCAGGCGCTCGGTATCGAGCGGCAGCAGCGAGCAGCGCGACGTGCGCGCCAGCAGCGCCAGCGCCAGCCAGCGGAGCAGCGCGGCCCCCATCTGCGACACAACCACGACCGAGCGAGTGCGGCGCGCGCGCACTAGTGAGTATTGCGCTACCACAGGAAGCGCGGCGTGCGTCCGTAGTCCGTACGTCCCGCGGTCAGCCCTGTGTTACTTTTGTCTACGTTCCCTCGACGTCGATAATAATTGCACATCAAAAACATGTTTCTACTTCGCCTTCGCTACTACTGCTATTACATTAGCTTCTCTTTAGCCAGGATGCGAGGCTTCAATTTATTAATTTCAAACTAGTGTTCGCCCAGTGGTTGAAAATTTAAATGAGATCATAATCATAATTGTTTTTTTGAATGAAACTCCTTTAGAATTGTTGTAATTTGAAACTCGATGAAATGAAAATGCGACACTAAAAGAGACAAACACACACAAATATATATATCTTTATATATATAATTCTTCTGTGAGTGTGTATGTCACTGAACTTCTCTCAAACGACTGGACCGATTTTGATGAAATTTTTTGTGTGTGTTCAAGGGGATCTGAGAATGGTTTAGATTCACAATTTGAATAATAATTTTCATCAAAATGGTCCAGAATGTTTTAGCTTATTAAAAAAAGTTTGAAATTTTCAAATTAAAGACGTGTAGACAGGACAACGTCTGTCGGGTCAGCTAGTGATATTCTATAAATAGGAGTATATGATAGTAATATGCCTAATATGTCTTATTTAAATTATTAATTTGTTTTAATTTAATTGCCAAAGAAGTTTTACTTCAACCGCGTGTAAAGGTTACACGCACCCATTTTTTTTATTAATAACACTAATGCTCAATTCTCATCTGTAGCTAACTAAAAAAATCAATTGATAAACCAAGGAGAAAAAAGTACTGAACTTTTTTATCTTTGTCTATTTACATATATATTTATTTAGATAAACGGAGAACAATTCTACGATATTATTTATACAGGAAGGGAAAAAGAGGCGCTGTAAAAATGTAGAGCACAATTACCTACATTTTGATGTAATCTAACATAAACATTTTGCAATTTTACACGGAGAAATACTACAGTCTACATTACTATTAAATACACATATACTTCTTGCTATGCATATTTTTAAACCGCTTTTTGTCATTGACCAAACGGAAAACCAAACCGAACCGGCTTTTCAGTTTAAGGTTTCGGTTACGTCCCATAACCGGTTAAATCCGATTTTTGACGAATTTAGATTCCATGAACAAAATTAAACGGTTAAAATGAGTTTCTGTGTATTTAGATTTGGCGCGTCTTTGCTAATGGTGAATGGCTTAGTAGAAGGATGCATGTACGTTTCTTACTTAAGAATGAATTAACCGGTTTATTTCAGTATCAAAACCGAAATCCAACCTTTGTCTAAGAATAACCGTTAACCATTATTATTTCGGATTACTAAACCGTTCGTTTTTATTAATCGGTTAAAGAACGAGTGATGAGTTAACCATCATATTAGCGAAACCTTTTTTTTAAACCGGTTCCGAGCCCTGGTTTTTCCTAAGACCATTATTGCTATACGCATTCGAAACATCGGGAAACAAAAATCAAAATAAATTCGCAAAAAAATCTGATAAGATTTTTTTTCACAGATTAAATCGTTTGGCTCAGTTTGTAGTGACCCTACTTGCTGTGCCAACGGTCGCAGGTTTGAGTCCCGCTGGGGGCATTCTTTTGTGTGATAAGCACGAATTTTGGACTCCAGTCATGGGTGTTTATATTTATAATATGTATGTATTAAAAGTTATATATGTGTAGTGTATGAACAATCTTTTTTTTAACGTTGGGAAATGCATTTACGCACGAGGTGTGGGACTCACCAGCAAAGCCAGTCTACTCACTAAAACCCAACAAAACCTTCCCCCGTCTTAATGGGGCGTCGCAGGATCGCTTACGCATTCAACTACGCAAGCAGACCACAACAACCATGGGGTTGCTCCAAGGTCCACTCTGCTATCAGAAAAATACCAGGAGCAACCCGCATGGTACTCCGCCCACCGAAGAGGGCCACCTCCCACTGCCCACCGAAGTGGGCCACCTCCCTGTGCGTTTCTTGGGTTCGTACCCGGCTGGATTGCTGGGCACTACTGAGCCCCCCCACTACGACAAGGTGAACGCACGTTGGGGGGGTGGGGGGTTGTGTGTGTGTATCAACTAGCAAGTCTTGTGGCTACCATGTAACTAGACGGTGTTGTGTACACGCATCGTCCATCTTCACTTAGTTTTCCATATACAAGTATAAATAAGCAAAGACAAAACAGTTGAGTACTTTTCTCCTGTTTGTCAAATATTTTTTTTTAATTAATATCTATTGACAAGTTTTAGTGTTATCAATAAAAAAATGATTATGATCGTATTTTGACTACTTGGCACTTATATATAAAGTTAAACTATTTGTCCGCGATTTCAAATTGTCAGTACTTCCTGATATCTATAGGCATTTATGTATGTACAATTTGTACATAATTTATATACTTAATGTCCCGAAATATTTATTTACTTATTTAATAAGTACAATGTCAACTTGATCAATCTACATCTACACTTTATAGCAAATATTTTAGAGAGGTAAAATTTGTAAGTTTGGATGAAGGGGGGAGATCCGCAAATACGGATACAGATAAGGAGTTCATATAACTATCACCATAAAGATATAAGGCCTGTTTGTAACTCACTACAATAAATAATCTAATATTCACCTTGTATATATCAAATATGTGATTTTATAAAATAGTAATACATAACTTAATTTGTTACCTACATTTTTTATTTCATTCACTTTATGACATACTAGCAGAACCCGTGGCATCGCACGGTATCAAACTGCGAAGAAAATAAACTTTTGCGTAATAATAAACTACCCTCTAATCCTACCTGCCCCACCCAATTTCGCCCTATATCTATTCTCCCTATCCTCTCCAAAGTCCTAGAATCTATCGTTAACAGCCAACTTTACACTTATCTCAACTCGAATAATTTGTTATATCCCTTGCAATCAGGCTTTCGTCCTTTTCACAGTACTGTTGGCGCGCTGCTGAACATCACGGAGGACATTTGGTCCGTAATGGACAACACTAAGCTCACTGTAATGGTTTTGCTTGATTCCAGTAGCGTGTTCAGCTCGGTTGATTTCGACATACTTCTTGGCACTCTACGAACTTGTTAATATGTCTCCCGCAGTTATAAATTGGTTCCAATCATATCTTTTCGGGCGCCGGCAGCGTGTGACAGCTAATGATAACTTATCGTCATGGTCTTACAGCTGGTGTTCCCCAAGGCGGCGTACTTTCTTCACTACTTTTTTTTATTTTCATTAATAATATCTCACATGTCATTTCTTCTCCCTACCATACCTTATTTGTATGCAGATGACTTGCAGATATACCGACATTGTAATTTAATTGAGTTGCCTGAGGCTGTTACGGCTTTGAACATTGATTTAGCTGCGATCCAAAGCGGGGCTGAATCTTTCGGTCTATTAGTAAACCCCAAAAAATCGCAATCTATAATTATTGGTTGCTACCAATAATTATAGATTGCTGCTGCAGACTACGAAGTAGAATTGACTGGACCTTAGTACCTGATATCCTGTACTCTAGAATCCCTATACATTAGTCGGATAAGGTGAGAAATTTAGGTTTCATCATTGATTGTAATATGTCTTGGGCACCTCATATTAGCGAACTAAGTAATCGTATGCATTTTTCCTTTCATTTTCTCAAGCGTCTCCAATACTTTCTCCCATTCAAAACCAAAGTTATGCTAGCGCAATCCATCTTATTACCCATTCTCGACTATGCCGACGTCTGCTTCCTGGATGTGACAGAGGAGCTACTTAATAAACTGGAGCGTCTTCAGAATCTCGCCATACGTTTTATCTTTGGCTTGCGGAAATATGACCACATCTCTGAATCCGTGCTCAACTTAAGTGGCTCCCAATCCGTCTTCGCCGTAATATGCACACCCTATTATTCCTTTAAATATCCTTAAAAATCAAAATTTCCCTCCTTACCTTCGTTCCCGTTTTAACTTTCTACAAATCTAAGATGTTGCCCTGGGATATAAGGTACCACCATGCAAAATTTCATTTAAATCGGTCCAATAGATTCGGAGATTAGCCCGTACAAACAGGAAAACAGACAAACAGCTCGCTCGGGTTCGTCCATACCTACGAATATGTTGTATTATCTCTTTAACCATTTGTCCAAATTAAATGCAGTAAAAGGGAAAAGTCTTTTATTTTAAAAAAGTCGCCGACTTTTTTGTAGGCATTATTAAGATCTACAACTTTTCTCTAGAACATAATCATATATCTCTCATCGTTAAGGCAGCGTTCGTAAGAAACGTTTTCGTTCGACCGTTTTTTCGCCGACTTACTTTGCAAATCCGACTAACATGAAAAAGTCTTTTCATTTTTCGGGTTAATATATAGCCTATGACACTCAGAAAGAACGTGGCTTTCTATTGGTAAAAGAATTTTGAAAATCGGTTCAGTAGATCCAGAGATTACCCCCTACAACGTCACAAACTCACAAACCCACAAACTCACAAGATCACAAACTTTACCTCTTTATAATATTAGTATAGATTAAGAATGACAGAGTTTCATACAATCTTTTATCCCCTAATTTACTCCCTTAGGGGATGAATATCGAAAAATCCTTTATTACCGGATGCCTACATTGTACAAGTAATAGGTTCTCCAAATTTCACGTCCCTAAGACCAGCAGTTTAGGCTGTGCGTTGATCGATCAGTCAGTCAGTCAGGACAAAGCATTTTATGTATATAGATAATGATAAAAAAGATCCGATTAAGATCCGTCAAAAAGTGACGGATACGGATACATATCTTTTTTCTCCCGCGGATATCCGCGGATACGTATACGCATACGGATATCCGATGCATCATTAATGAGTATAACCCAGTAATAAAGAAATATCAAGAAGTAAAGAATAGTAGATAGAAAGTAAGTAGAAATAAAGTAATAAAGAATAATGAATGAATATAATAAAGAACGGAGATAGTATAATCTTTGCATACAAACTCACAAATTTTAAGTCAGTTTCAGTCATAAACTTTTTAAATTATAAGCGGTTTTGTTGAAATAAGTCAGTATTTACATCTTCATCAATAAGCACGAGAAATTACACAGATAAAAGTTTTTCTTTTGTGTTATTTATTAAGAATGAATGAATTTCTTTTGATTCTTAGTTTTTAGCATAATGATATAATATAACATTTGAACCCCCTCGCCCTAAGCGGGAGATACCCCAATGTGCTAAATGTCAACAATACGGCCACACAAAGGCTTATTGCCGTCGAAACCCGAAGTGCATTAAGTGCGCTGCTTAATCTGCCTATCCGTAGACTGCCCTAGAAAAATAAGATCTAACGAAGTGAAATGCGATCTATGTGAAGGAAATCACCCTGCTAACTACAAGGGATGCCAAGTATATAGAGAACTACAAAAAGTCAAACTAGCAGGAAAACCAGAAATAAATAAAAATCAACGAAAGTATGACAGTCCAAATCCGACACAACAAACTGAAAATACAAATGGACCCTCGAAAAACCAAATCCAAAAGACATATAGAGACGCACTAACTAAGGAAGCAAACAAAACATACAAACAAAACTACAACACACAGGCTGATAATAGCGATAATAACAGTAATGAGGACTTAATAATAATGTTAAAGCAAATGATACAACTTACAAATATGACAAACCTACTTAGAATACTCACGACTAAACTGACCAATTCGACTCCATAAAAATGGTTATTTGGAACGCCAATGGCTTGTCACAACACACCCTCTAGGTGAAAGCTTTTCTTGACCTATACAAGATCGACGTACTCCTGATATCAGAAACTCACTTCACCAAGAAAAGTCATTTCAAAATTGATTCCTATAATACTTTCTTAGATTTACGCGAATGTTTGACATTTTTAAATAAAACTATCTTTTTGGATTATTTCGCGGATTTAGTTTGATTTTTGGTTCCCGACGTTTCGAATGTTTTACAGCATCCATGGTCACGGGAGAGACTGAGGTGTTACATGTCTTGCAGGTATAGTTGTTACAGACAGCCTAGCCACAATTAACAAAATGAAAATTGCACCAATTACATTACAATATTTTTTAATTTTAAACATTTTTATAATTTTAATTATAATTAGATATGGAATATTATTTATTTAATTTTTGCTATTATTTTTATAATTATTACAATTTTAAAAATATTAATTAGTAATCTATATTTAGTGTTGTCATTATTATATTTATAACCAAAAGTAGGCTGTCTGTAACAACTATACCTTCAAGACATGTAACACCTCAGTCTCTCCCGTGACCATGGATGCTGTAAAGCATTCGAAACGTAGGGAACCAAAAATCAAAATAAACCCGCGAAATAATCCGAAAATGAATCCTATAAATTATACCATACGACGCACCCTGATGGTACTGCCCATGGAGATAGCGCCATATTAATAAAAAACAATATCAGACACCATGAATCTGCAAATTACTGTACAAATGAAATACAAGCGGCAAACATAGTAATTGAGGACTGGGCTGGGCCCTTCACAATCTCAGCCGTGTATAACCCTCCTAAACATAATTTAAAACAAGACGACTACGAGAAATTCTTCAACACCTTGGGAAGCCGATTCGTGGCTGGTGGTGACTATAACGCCAAACATACATATTGGGGCTCACGAACAGTTACACCGAAAGGCCGACAGCTGCTGAGAGCATTAGAACAGTTGAAACTTAGCTGTATTTCATCTGATGAATCTACTTATTGGCCCACAATTCAATGCTACGATCATTTCTAGACAGTTCCTTTATATCAATATTCAGGTCACCTACGAGAGCGATGTTTGGGTAAGATGACAGGTCGGAGTAGACGTTATTTAGGCTTATAAGGAAGTTATCGAAGTTTTCTTTGGTTTGGTATGCTGGCGAGCGATAGATTGAGACCACAGCTAATTTGTTATCTATGTTACATATAAGACAATTTGCATTATAAATATTTGGTTCACTTACAGTTGCGTTTAAGTCGGTCTTAGTGTATATGATAATTCCGTCATTTTTGTTTAGGTTCCTAGCAGTCGCATATGAGTGAAAACCATCAAGACTGGGGCAGTTATATACTTTGCTCAGCCAGCATTCAGTAAGCACAACGATATCAAAATTGATTTTCGTTCTATGTATTAGTGTTTGAAGGCTATCAAAGTTTTTGTTTACGCTACGAATATTAGTATGAAGTATATTTATGTTATTATTTGATGTGGTAATATGGTACTTACAGTCCTCAGGAGAACAAATGATACCGTTGTCTGCACTGGTGTGATCGAGTTCTTCGTTTATATTATTAATTATAGTAGCCATTTACGTAAGTTTTGAATCCAAGACATGTAGCACGTAGTAATTGTGGTAGTAGTGGAGTTTTATCGTGTAGTGTACTGTTGAGTGTATTGTTTTTAATTTATAATGAGAGTAATAAGTAGGATATAATTTTCTTATATAAATGTAAGTAAAACATGCTTTAAATAGAAATTTGAGAAAATTAAAAGATTTTACGTTAACTAGTCACAAGGTAGGGAGGATGTCATTGAGACATTTTTCGTTGTTCACTAGAATCTGTTTTTCGCCGACTTGCTTTCTTAGAAAGATATTACCATTGGAAACCCAACAGAATTTGAAATTGTTTTTCTTGGCAAATTCTCGTGCGATAAAGAACAGCTTCTTAGTGCTAGGAGATAATTTATCGGTTATATACACTGGCTGTCTCTTCCCCGCAATCCCGATGATTTCTGTATTCATTTTGTCATCCCTAGATTTTTTGGTTTTGTTGAAGGACTGGACAGAAGAAATTACGTTTTGTTTAGTTTGCACAGTTGTAAATTCGGCGATAATTGGGCGAGGAGTAGCAGAGTTGTTAGGCTTCCCAGGTAAACGATATATATCACGGAAATCTGATGGAGGGATGTGTACCCCGACGACTTTGCCAATGCTACAAACCGTTTGTATAAGGCTTGAACTAGTCTCCGATTCGTTTTGCGGAATATTGCGAATTTCAACACTCGACGATCGTGTTTTCTGCTGTAAGTCATTTATCTTTCTTTCCAGGCTCTCTATGTAAATGATGTAAGAAAGACACCAGACTTAATTGATTTCGCAATAGTGAGGGGCATCGCTGGCACATACTTCGAATGCAAATCAATACCTGAACTTTCGTCGGATGACTCTCCAGTCGAAATACTGTTAAAGAGAAAAATAACCCTAACTGCCGACGTATGTCGACTACTTAGTAGAAAAACAGACTGGAATAGTTTCCGAGAGTCAATCTCCGCTTCAATAAACATACACTTACCACTCAGAACAAACGAGAACATAGAAGAAGCCGTTGAGCATTTAAATAGTTGTATACAAAAATCAGCTTGGCATGCTACACCTGGAACTTCCAAAACCATCCCCAAATCACAAAGCTATCCGACTAATATTAGAGAATTGGTTGCAAAAAAACGAAAGGCACGGAAATTATGGCAGAAAACTCGGCACCCAACGCATAAAACTGCCCTAAATTCACTGATATCCAAACTGAGCCAATTATTGAGTGAAAATCAAAACCAAAATGTGCAAGCATACCTTAGAGAGCTTGACGCCAGCGCCGCAACCGACTACTCACTATGGAAAGCGACAAGCAAACTCAAGCGTCCTATGCTAACACGGTCTCCTGTACGCAAAGCAGACAGCAGCTGGGCTATAAAAGATTCAGATTAGGCACAAGCATTTGCTGACCATCTGAAAAATGTATTTGTACCAAACCCAGGGAACCAGGGATCTACACAGACTGAATTAGTGTCGAGAATACTTAATGAAACACATCAATTAGACCTCCCAATAAATAGCTTCTCTATATCTGAAGTTAATCAAGCAATTAGGAAACTCGATTAAAACAAAGCGCCAGGATACGATTTGAAAACCGCTAAAATAATGAGAGAATTGCCAGAAGAGGGTGTGCGCTTCGTAACATACATATATAATGCCATATTCAGAACTTCAACGGTCCCCAGACAATGAAAAGTGGCTCAAATCATTATGGTTACCAAACCGGGCAAAATCCCTGAAGACGTAAAGTCTTACAGGCCTATCAGCCTACTGCCAATACCATCAAAAGTAATGGAGATTCTATTCTTGAGCAGATTATCGCCAATCATTAAAGAAAGAAACTTAATTCCAGACCACCAGTTCGGCTTCAGGCCACAACATGGTACTATTGAACAAGTACATAGGCTTGTGAACAACATTAACAATGCTTTTGAAAGGAGACAATACTGCACAGCTGCATTCTTGGACATTTCTCAGGCCTTTGATCGCGTATGGCATGATATGCATTTAAGATAAATAATCGGTGCCAATCGAATACTACAACTTTATTAGATCGTATTTAGAAAACAGATATTTCTTTGTAAAACACGGCGAAGAACTAACAACACTATGCCCAATCCATGCAGGCGTACCGCAGGGTAGTGTAATGGGTCCTACCTTGTATCTTCTGTATAATGCAGATCTGCCCGTTTCCAAGGCCACAGTAACAGGCACTTTCGCTGACGATACAGCAGTTCTGGCATCAGATGAACTCCTAGAAAAAGCCACCCTAAAACTCCAAAATAGTCTTGACAATATCGCGAATGAATCCAAATCGGTCCAAGTGACATTCACCACTCGACGTGATATTTGCCCTCCAGTCACATTAAACGGAGTTCAAGTCCCCCAAGACGATGAGGCAAAGTATTTGGGAATGTACCTAGACAAGAGACTTACATGGAGAAAACACATCTTTACCAAAAGACTAGCGATGGGACCACAGGTCAGAAAAATGTACTGGATGTTGCACAAGAAGTCTCAATTGTCAATGACAAACAAGCTTCTCATTTATAAAGCCATAATTAAACCCATATAATAAATAGCTACGGTCTGCAACTATGGGGTACAGCGGCAAACTCGAACATAGAAATCCTGCAAAGATTTCAATCTAAAATGCTACGCATGATCGCAAACGCACCTTGGTACATAAGAAATGATAGACTATAACCACGACCTAAACATTAAAACAGTCAAGGAGGAAATCAAGGAAAGGATGACTAAATACAAAACAAGAATCACACACCATCCTAATGTACTTGCAAAGGATCTAATGAACGAAGTGCAAATGCCACGAAGGCTCAAACGCAAAAACCCACGAGATCTATTATTGTGAAGTTGTAGATCGCATAATGATGAAGCGATATTGTTAATGAACAATCTCGCACAAGCCTAAGACCTGCACATACCAACCTAATGCCGAATATCGCCAGATAGATTGCTTTAAAAAATTTATATACATATAAAAAAAAAGTTTTTTGCAATCTATACTAATATTATAAAGAGGTCAAGTTTGTGAGTTTGTGACGTTGTAGAGGGTAATCTCTGGATCTACTGAACCGATTTAGAAATTTGGTAAGAAGAAAGTTTCGAGACCCTTGGAAGGACATAGGATACTTTTTATCCCGGAAATCATCCCTTAAGGGGGTGAAAATGGGGATAAGTGAAGCGAGGGCGAGTCGCTAGTCAAACTATATTTCAAGTGTGCTATAATGCCGCTCCTTTTAGACAATCCATGGTTTTATGGGCTACAGCGTACACTTATATGGTAGCATATAATAGTTTTTGTTGAATTGTCCTTCTTTCTATGGGATAAATAACTGTGAATAATTGGCAGTTTACGAATAAGTATCTTTATTGTTTAATCACTTTATTGTTATATCAATCCTAAGCTAGTAAAGAAAAAAGGTTGGAAATTTATTAGTTTCAAATCCTTCATAAATAATGACACCAGACTAATATTTTTCTATTAGTACGAAAAATATAATAGCCTAAGTCTTGTTAGAATTGTAAAAGAGAGTGATATTTGATAACAGATCTGTAATGAAACAACAGAGTTTACTACAAATAATATTTATTGGATTTAATCACGTTTTTTAAAACCAAACTTAACTAAAAATTGCCCTTAAAATTATGTTAAAACATTCTTTTATATTGGAATATATGCTTAAATAATAATATAATGGAAATAAGAAAGCAATCATGAGTCTTCATAAATGTATTAAGTAAACACAAGTAAAAGTTGTAGAGCATGGAATATTTCTACACTTTCAGAGAATGTGAAGAGTAAAATATGCAATAATAAGAAATTTCAAATATATATCACAAATGGAGGCAGGTCGCATCACTCCACAATGTTATTAAATGCATTACCACTTCCAACAGGGAAAATTGAATATTTAATTAGTCATAAATATGAAATCCTTCCTTCATCATAATAACACATCTGTTGGTGTAAAAACATTCCCAGATGGTTTCTAGGTCACAGAGTACAGACTGCTTAGCCCTGCATTATGAGATGCACAAAGTTCTCATAGTTGATGTTCCCCTGGGAGTCCTCTTGTCCCTGTAAGAGCTGCTCCACCTGCATACAAATGTAATGTATGTAACTCCATTTGAGTCATAACACTTTTATGCAAATGAAATTGAATTTGCATACTTAGTTATTCTTCTTTATACAGTGGAGTAAATAATAAATGTTATTAGATTAAATAAAAGTGGTAATCTTACCTCATCATCACTTAACTTTTCTCCCAGTGTGGACAAGAGATGGCGTAGCTCGGCTGAAGAAATAAAACCATTGCCATCCTTATCAAAGTGACGTAAACCTTCAATAAAGTCATTTGCAGTATCACCACTTCTGGCTTTAGAAATTGCCTGCAAATAAAAAATAAATTCCTAAAATCAAAACTCATAAAAGAGTTAAATAAAATTAACTATATTTACACCATACTTTTTTAGTTATATGTGAATATTTGACATTTTAAATAAAAGTATCTTTTCAGATTTTATCGCGGGTCTCTCCCGTGACTATGAATCCTGTAAAGCATTCGAAACATTGGGAACCAACAATCAAAATAAATCCATGAAATAATCCAAGAAGATAGTTTTATATAAAAACAAAAGTCCAAAATAATTGAAAACCTGATAAAATAATGAATAACTTTACATTAACAATTATCCTTATCTTAAGCAAATTAAATTATGTGACTTATTCTAAACTTATACTAGCAGACCTGGCCACACATTTATGTGGCACACATGTGAAAATCGTTAATTTTGCAATAAACTATTCTTTCTTTTAAGTTGAAAGTTGGAACAAATCACACATTATGAAAAAAACATACTTTAAGATTGTATAAGTAGTTTCAAAGTTCATCACGGACCAACATTATGACAAGGAAATTTTATATATTAAGATATTCTTTTTTATTTTTAATACCTGATAAATAGGCAAAAAGACTTCAAATGATATTCTCTCATCAGGCTTGAGATGTAAGGTACACTTTTTAACATCAGATTCTGTTGGATTCTGTCCCAGAGCACGAAGAGCATCACCTATTTGTGCTACATGGATCTTGCCATCTCCACGCGAGTCAAATAGCTGAAAGGCTTCCTGAAATTCTATAAAAAAGAATTTTATGTATCTCAAATTATATATATTATATTTACGTAAATTTTAAATTTAAATACCTTCTACTGAAGTAAGCTTAAGCTTAGTAGGTGGCTCGTACATAAACATGTTGCGCGGAGAGAGTATATCGGTGTACTGTGCGCATTAAATGGCCTCAAGCAGAATGTTTTAAAATACAAACCATATAAGGAAACTAGGGCGCTTGCAAAAGCCGATGCTTTTTAGTAAGAACATTGATTGACGTGAGTCATAGGGCACTGCGCGACAGTGCCTTTAAGTCCCTACGCTTCGTTAACACTTAAATTACAGATACTTCTTTATTTTATTCTTCAAATATAATAAGATAATGTAAATATCTTTTAGATGACTCACCTGCAAGTTGGTCTTCGGAATAACCAGCCTGTAAAATAATGACGTAAATTATATTGTGTTAGTTTCTTAATGAAAATCTACAAATATTTGTACTTTACCATGTTTTTATGAGGAACTCGAAGGTAATTTAACGAATTAAAATCTAATAAAATTTAGTTCCGTATATGCCAACTGTCATACAGATACATAAACAATTAACGAAAAAATGACGTAGCAATGAGTTTGTTAACAATTATTTTCCTTTTTAAAGATGGGTTCATTTTTAATTAATATATAATATTGTTCATTTTATATACACAAATATTAAATGTTAAGAGTATATCATAAAAAAGTGTTAATAAAATTAAAAAGTAATTTTTATGATTTTAGAAAAAATAATTTAAATACGGCTGCTAAATGTTGCTAGTACATAATAAAACTATAATGAAAAGTCTTACACTGATACAAGAATTAGTAAAAAATTAGTAATTATTTTTATACTCCTTCACCCAAAATGATTGTTTTCATAATTCAAGCCTTAATTAATAACTTGAAGAAAATATCACATTTAACAATACGAAAAGCAAACACATAAAGGCTGGCACAGATGAGTCTGACAAACTAATGGATTCGTCCGCTTGTTATTTGATCTCAATATTCAGGCGTGGATCCAGTGTTTAATTTGGGGGAAGTGGGGGTGGGGGGGGGGCGGGTTGGTGGTCATAGGCTGAAATATACATACCTATATAAAACAGTAACTTAGCAAAAATCTGTACATGAAATATTTTTTTAAAACAATGATTGTAACCGTGTAACGTATAGTGTACAGAATATAGAATCCTAAAACAAAATTTTTGTCTGTAAATCTGTTTGTGTGTTTCACTCAAACAGTACTGAACCGATTTTAACCAAATTTTGTGTTGTGATAACTTATTACTCGGGTCAACATTAAGGATGCTTTATATTACAGGAAAACTTTATTCCCACGGGTAAACATAATAACGGGTTCTATCGAGTCGTCCTTATAAATTTACATGGCTAACGCTGGCTAAACTTTAAAAGAATGTACATCCAAAGAATGTACTAGAAAATTGTAGGTCTTAAAAAGGCCTAAAGAAAAATCTGCAATAGTATAAGTTTTTCTTCTAAGCTATAACTATTTATATTTATACAAAACGTACCTATTTTTTTTTCTATTTCCGGCTAAGTGTGACATCCTATCGAAAAATGTTCTTTACAAAAGTTGTAGGTCTAGTAAAAATCGACGACTTTTATAAATGACACTAACAATAAACTCAAAGTTTTCGAGATATTTGCAAAAAACCCGTTTTATATTTTTTTTCTTTTTACTTACATGTATTTATAATTAATATACTCTTTATATTATTTTACTTATGTTAATAAACTTTTATTATTTTTTAGTTTAAAGTTAAAATGCTAAAAAATAAAATAAAAATTATATATAAATAAATCTATCTTTTAAATTTTATAATATAGTATAATAATTACATAATATGTAATATTGGTTAAAATCGGTGCTTTCATTTCTGAACGGTAGTAGCCATTGATCTTTTCATTCGAAAAAAAGCCGATTGAGCTCGTACGAAACGATGGCGCGGTCGGGTTGGTTGGCGATTGGTGGACGAATTGTAGAGGGAAGGAAAAAGAAAATGGCAAAATGGTGTAGAAGTTGTTAAAAAGGTTAGTTACTTAATATTTCAATTCATTTACAGGCTACATTAATTTCTTGGTATTTATTAGATTAATTTTAATTTTTTTACGGTAAGCGATTACCGTTATCGGGCGAGGTAGCCGACAGGGCGACGGCTGCGTTCGGCATAGGCTTTGTTCGCCAAACTCCACGTGCCTTCCGCCATTTAGAATAATTTTCGGAAAGAATAAAGATTGCAATTACATATGATTTACGGCTGTAGGAAAAGAATTTGCTAGCATTAATTAATGTAAATGTTTATCTAAAATTTGTGCGACTCATTTGACTAAAATGAGCGGACGTCGGCGAAGGGCAGCGTGGTCTTGCCGAACCGTCGAACGGCTTTTGGTGCGTCAGCGCCTTGTTGGATTTATCATGTGCTGATAGTGCGGGGTTTTGCAGGCTCAGCGGAGCCATGGCTGCCGGCGGCGAGTTCGTCGAAGGGTGGCTGGTCGCACAGGTGCTCGGCGAAGGTGCATACGGAGAGTAAGTTTTTTTGTTATTACGTTATGTCAACAATTGACGTATATATTATCTATGTAAATTTAAAACAAAAGATACTGATTTAAATAAACATTATAATCAAATAAATTACGGGTATAAATAAGTATAAAAAGAAACTAAATGTATTATTACTAATTGCTACTAAAATTTATTTGGTGAGTTATTGATTATATATATATATATATATCTTTATATATATATATCTTTATATATATATATATATATATGTGTGTGTGTGTGTGTGTGCACTTTGTAGTCCTTGCGTTCTAGATAAACTGAATATAGTGACCAATCTGTATTCCAGTTTTTGCGTTTCATGATATACTGGAAGTGGTTATTAGGGTGTTACTAAAATTTATTAGACTAAATGTTATAATTTGTAAGCTCAAGGTACCTTTATATTAAAATTGTAATATTATATTATTTAAAATTAATTAACATTTTAATAAAATTGTGTATTATATAGGTAACTATTTTATGTACAATACATACCTTTAGTGTCCCTAAATATTTTAATCATATCTTTATTTACTAATCGAGTTACCAGATTTAAAATGTGTAATACTTCTCGTATCCACTACTCTATGTATTTTAATATAAACCAATGCTGCTTATTTCCAAATGAATCTTGTTATTTTACAAGGAAATTACAGTAAGATTTCTTATTGCTAGCTCCAAATATATGTATTGTGGTACTTTTAAATGTATCTCTTAAATTCTATATATGTCTGACAACTATAACACAACTAATATGGTCATATGTAAACAGGTTTTATTCAGTTGTTTAATATCTGGTATAATTAAAATGTAATCAACCAAATAGATTTCTAGCAAAAATAAAACTATTTTAACTGATGATTAAACAAACTGTAGATGATTTATATGCTTATATTTTAAAAAATAACATGTATTTATTGATAATATTGATAGATTTTTTTTAATTTGATGAAATAATTCTTCTTTTAAAACTTATGAATACCATCCAGATACCAAAACTATGAATAAGTAATTACGAGTATATGATATTATGTAACTACAAGTAATGACATTAATTTTTAAATAGAAAAATATAATAGTGATTGGCAATGACATAAAATTTAACAATTCTAAAGAAATATACTAAGAACTTTATTGTGACTTTTATATGGATATCATAGTTCAATGCTTTTTAAATAATTTTGATTTTTTTTAATAATAATGAAGTAATGCTACTACTTAATCCTAATGCATAGTGTAGGTTATGTTTGGCATCACAACAGCTACTGCAATACACAGTCATTCAGAAATCATTACTGACAATATAGTTATATTGTTAAGTTTAACATGCAGATAAAAGTGAACGAAAACTGGTTTTTATTTTGGTATTATGTATAAACTTAGAAACAGTTGTGTTACTTGAAATTGTAGACAGGTTTTAACAAAATCCATTTGGGTTGAGTGAAGATGAAAAGTCCTCTGCAATATGTACTGCTATGTGTGCGTGGAAATCTTGTTTGTTTATTAAATTTTACACTTATCAATTAGTATGTAATGATCATTCATTAGACAAAAGAACATTCTGGATAGTAGTAGTCAGTGTTAGAGCGCCCGAGCGCTGACTCTGCATCGTTGCGACGGCGGCGACGCGATGGCAATGCGGCGGTTGAAGTTGCTTCGATCTAAGGCGGAACTAGATTGAGAGTGCAATTCGGATGAAAAAAAGCGATTGTGTTAGCGACGGCGAGTGCGGCGCATCCTTGAAAGTTTATCCACCCCGCGCGGTCAGTGCCGCCGTCACCGCCGCCGCCGTCACCTTGTTTTTCTACTACAGCTCGAATTTTCGGCTTATGTCTTTGCATAATAGCGTATTATAAATCTCAACTGGATACACAGCGGTACGCGGCCAAGATATTGTTCATCTTACTTATGTTTTAGGTATTATTAACTGTTTCAATTAATGTTCTACTATGATAGGAGTTAATTTTGATTAGTATTTCACCATTCATAATTTGTGACATAATCAGTCGATTAACTAACAACAAATGTTTCGACGGCAATAATTTTGAAAGGGAAAATTATAATTATTCAACTCTGTTCAACCATCTTAAATTATTATGGAACTTTTCTTCTAAATTCCATATATTATCTTTCAATCAGATCCGAGGGAATCCGGTTCTGTTTCATCTTCTAATCTGCGGGAGTTGTTTGTGCGTAACTGTTGTAAAGTTGACTTTCGATGAATGTTCATCTATAACAATTATTTCCTTATCGAGGCGAAGATGAGTCGCTAGGACTCATCCTCGCTTTGCTCGGGTTCGTTCCTAGGTAGGTACGTATTAACGGTTAGTATGGAATAAACAGACTATATATAGCCTTCCTCAATAAACGGGTTATCTAAAGCAAGAATTTTTCAAATCGCATTAGAGTTCCTGAGATTAGCGCGTTCAAACAAACAAACTCTGTCTCTTTATATTATTATAGATACAACTTTACATAAAGTTAAGTAATTTTCGCGTAAAAATACCTTGTATTGTGGACTGTTTATATTGCTAAAAGTTAGTTTGGCTTCAACTTTAATATTTTTTTCTAACAATAGTGTAGTTCTTCCATGACCGATATTACTAAATATTGTGCGCTCCTTGTCAACCATGCACACATGACCTCTAGCACTTCAAGAGCAAGAATATTACTGTTTACGTTTATATATAGATGACATTGAGAAACATGTTAAGGTTAGACTTAAACTTATCGTAGGGTGAGATTGCTGGTACATTCCCGGTCTGGGGCTTGCGTCGCGCTGAAGGCAGTGCAGGCCGGCGAGGGCGGCGCGCGCGAGGCGGCGCTGCACCGCGCCCTGCGCCACCCGCACGTGCTGCGCTGCCTGGGCGAGCGCCGCCACCACAGCCTGCACTACCTCTTCCTGGAGTACGCGCAGGGTGGCGAGCTGTTCGACCGCATCGAGCCCGACTCCGGCATGCGGCCCCGCGATGCGCGCCGCTACTGGCGCCAGCTGACCGCCGGCCTCGCCTACCTCCACGCGCGCGGCGTCGCGCACCGCGATATTAAGCCCGAGAACCTGCTGCTCGACCATGAAGACAACCTCAAGATATCCGACTTCGGCATGGCGACACTGTTTAGGTGAGGTATGTTTTCCGTCAATCGGCTGTTTTTGGCTGGTTGGTGGCTTTCATCTGCGATCCAGTTTAATCGTAACGTTTGCGGACAGGCACGGGTCGCGCGAGCGGCTGCTGTCGCGTGTGTGCGGCACGGTGCCGTACGCGGCGCCCGAGGTGCTGCGCGCGGAGCGCCGACCATATCGCGCGCCGCCCGCCGACCTGTGGGCCGCCGCGCTCGTGCTGCTCGCCATGCTCGCCGGCGGTCAGTCTCGTCCCTACTCTCGTACGCTCCGCACGCTAGCTCGCGTTATGTTCATTCTTGCATGGTTATTTTTGATATAACTAATATTAATAATAGGCTTTAGCATCTCTCTTTTGTTTATATATTTGAGAATGATGTGTTTTGTTTATTCTTTTGCTTTTTTGTGTCTGTTACTAAACGACTGCGAAATATCTGTTTAATGTTATAACTAGACGAGAAGAAGCATATTATAAATATTAGTTTTTATTATTACATTGAGAGCACCGCACGATAGTTCGCAGTCTCTACGTGTTTGTTCCACAGCATGCAACCAGACTGAGCACTAACCCGCACGCCGCTCCCGGCGCGGCTCGTCTCTTTGGTATCCTAGCTGTAGGCGTGTCCTCGTCCCCTAAAGTTATGGTACCGAAGTTACGAATCGCGCCGTGCCTCGTCCGCCGCGGCGCCGTCGACCTACGCCCCGAGACCGCCGTCCGTCACGTCGTGCGTGTCGCACGCCCGCTGGACGGCACTTACTCTGTGTGTCATTACAGAGCTGCCGTGGGAGCGTGCCAGCGAGGACGACCCGCGCTACGCGGCGTGGCACGCGTGGTGTGCCGCGCCCGGCACGTCGTCCGCGCCCGCCGGCGTGTGGCGCAAGCTGGGTGCGGGCGCGCTGGCGTTGCTGCGACGCGCGCTGCAGCCCGACGCGTCGCGCCGCGCCACGCTCGACATGTTGCTCGCTGACCGCTGGCTCGCTCAGTCCGACACGAAACCGGACCATCAGCGCGGTGAGTGTACTGCGTGTGACTGACCGATCAGATGCGGTACGGTACCCTGGAAGACTCGCGAGAAGACACCGCGTTCGTCGTGTCAGGTACTAGGTGACTCTGAGTGGAGTGGTCTCAGAGACGCCTCGTGCCTCAGCACGGTGGCGCGGCGACGACACGGCGGCGGCAAGGCGGCGCGGCTAAGACGAGGTCGACGAGTGAATGCACGCCGCGGTACTTTGGCGATTTAGCTCCATGACGTGTGTGTGCTCATAAAGCTAGATTACCAAAGCACTGCGTTGTTGCAAATTCATCGATTAAAACCAAAAGAAAATCTTCTCATATCTGTGTGTTCCACTTCAATTGCAACTCAAGGCCAAGATTCATAACATAACTGTTTATCTATGTTCTTTTGCATACATATATAAGCGTGTTTCTCTGTTAGTTCAAAAGTGTGATTTCTCTTTCCTTTTTTAAAAAAGAAACTTAACTGTCAGTTTGTATCTGCTAATATTAAAAGCTGCTGAATCGATTTTATCGGAGCTTGACCTGCCAGACAACAAGGAACCTCATTAAAAGCAAAAACAAAGCTGCGGGTGAAAGTTTTAGTATTTATCAAATTTGTTTATTAAAAAAAAGTCTTAAATTTTTTTCTGGGTGTAATAGGAACTAAATCTAACTTAGTATGTGTTCCTACAACGTTTAAGGTGTCTGTCTGCCCACTACACCGTCTCATACCATGACCGTGCTAGGACCGTGTCAGGCAAAAATATATTCTTTGTGTTGAAAACTACGAGACTTTGCCCACTAGACCGTTCCGTTATCAAACGGCATCGCCGCGTATCGTGCACGGAGCGGCAACAATTGTCAGCGAGAATATTTTACCGGTGCCGGTACGCTTTGTGCCTGGCACGCGACGTTGCGGGAACGGTGCGCGCAGGCGGCGCAATGGTGAGCAATACGCAGCACTAAAACCGTTATGTACGGGTATGATACGCTGTTGATACGTTATACTGGGCATAGTATGTAGTTCCTGCCATGCTCGTTTCCGTGCCTGATACGTTCATAGCACGGTCATGGTATGAGACGGTGTAGTGGGGCAGACTCCTTTAACTGTGGCAATACGCCACGCATATTCCCCAAGAAATCTTAGGTTCATTACATTTCATTATGGATCAAAATGAATTATTATCACTAATCAAAAACAACAGCATAGCTACTATAAAATTACACATAACACAAAGTATTCATGTAGCCAGTGGATCATAATCGAGATGTGATACAGATGGCACGCGACGAGTGTGGTGCTCGCAGCCGCTACCGGGCGCGAGCAGCGCGGGGGACACGCGGCGGGTGGAAGGCGGCACGCCTGGCGCGCCTGACCTCAGCGCTGCCGACATAGACGCGTTGCTGTGCTACTCGCAGCCCGCGCACGCAGACGACTTGCTGCTGTCCACGCCGCCCGACACGCCTGGCGCGCCGCCCGCACCGCCCGGCATGCTGCAGCGCCTCGTGCGCCGCATGACACGCGTGTGGCTGCGCTGCGACGACGCCGCCGCCCTGCGTGCGCTCGCCGCGCTGCTCGACCAGCAGCGCTACACCTGGCGCCGCATACACCCACGCATCGTAAGTTTACATTACACTTGGAGTGTAGTACTGGGAGTGAGAGTGGGAGTTTTTTTTTCTACAACCTCTTATGATTTTTTTTGCAACCAATGTCAACTATTTCGACATCAGTAATGTATGAAAATTCTTCAAATGTCATTCATTATCATTCGAAAAATTTTCATTTAAAATAAAACATCTTTTTGGATTATTTCGCGGATTTATTTTGATACTTGGTTCCCGACGTTTGAATGCTTTTCAACAATCATGTTCACGGGAGAGACTAAGGTTTAAGACGTCTCAAAGGCATTATATACTTGTTACAGACAGTGTCTGACAGACCCACAATTTTACAAAATGGCATCAAAGTACCCTTCAATATTTGTCGATTTTAATTCTAAACATTTTTAATTTTTCCAATAAGTAATTTAATTAAATATGGCAATAATATTTATTTAATTTTAGCTGTTATTATTATAAATATTACAATTTTTAATAAACTTAATTGATAATATTATTTAGTGTTGCTAATATGTCTAGAATAAATATAAAGAAAATTACAGTTTTTAAAAATTTTATTATTTGTTTAAGCAATATTATTGTTTCATATTATGTAATTTAAAAAAGTTAAAATATTAAGCTACACTATTGCTACCTTTATAGATAAAAAATATTAATCTCAATTACTATTATTTTGATCCACACAGTATGAATCAACTACATCAAATGATCCGTTATGTTTAATTTTGTTGTTAGAATTTATTATGTTTAGTACAGGATTCCATTATGATCGTAGTATCTAGCCGTCTCCCTATTGGAGTTAGGATATTTTTTTAATTTCAATAGCTTCGCGAATCATCCTAGGGCGATAACGGTTCTCTTTCGCGAGTGTTTGTAGACTGTCAAAGCGAATGTAGTGGCTTGGTTGATCCAGAATATGTTAGCAGACTGCAGATTTTGTATTGCGACGGTGCTTCACATTAGCTGTGTTCTTTGATCCGAATTCTAATGGATCTCTTTGTTGGTCCGATGTAGGAGAGTCCACAATCACAATCAAGTTCTGCATCTTGGAGAGGGATGTGGCAGTTGACTGGTGGTAAGAACTGAGTTTACTATGGGGACTTGAAATAAGTTTTAATTGAAGCACGCTTTACTTACGATGTATCCATTCCAATTTTGTCCGGTGACTTCTCTCATGTATGGCAGGACTGCAGGGTGATTGCTGTAAAGCATTCGAAACGTCGGGAACTAGAAATCAAATTAAATCCGCGAAATATCCGTAAAGATCGTTTTATTTAAAATGTCAAATATTCGCATAAATCTAAGAAAGTATTATTATTATGGGGATTTTTTTAGTGCATGATTCATAATGTGTATTTTTTTCAGTTTGCTATAGATTGCGGGGACGACGTGCGCATGCGCGCGTGGGCGCTGCCGGTGGGAGGCGGCGGTGAGGGCGACGCGCGCTCGGTGCTAGAGTTCCGGCGCTCGCGCGGTTGCGGGCTGGCTTTCAAGCGGCGCTACCTGCAGCTGAGGCGCGCGCTGCTGGCGGCCGCGCCCGGCGCAGCGCCGCCGCCCGCCGCGCACGCGCTGGCCGCTCCGCTGGACGCGCTCGCGCCCACGCCCACACCCGCCGGCCCGGACGAGCCTATGGACATGGACCACGCGTGAACACACGCACACACCAACAATCTCCAAACTTCCACTTGTAATAAATTATTTTCTTAAGATATACAAGAGCTGTAAGATACCTCTTGTTGTGATAACTATTGCCTCACTGTTATGTATTTGATCTTCGATTAACTTATTATTACATAGTACTTCTAAGACTGATTGTAAAATTAATGTTTTCTAAAATTGTAATAATAAAGGTCAAAGACCTTAAATGTTATGTAAGTAAATAAATAATTAAAGTGAAACTTGTTTTATTTAATTGCTCTTAATGTACAGTAGGGTGAAGTGAAAATATTTTTTTTTCAATTTTGAAATTCCTGTATTACCAATGACCCATAACCCAAGACGCATTCATGCAAAATTTCAGGTTCCCAGGACAGTATCATAAGGTGACGCATTGGGCTTGAAGTTTAAAGAAAATTAATATTTAGCGCACAAATAGTAACTACAGTGCGCTCACAGTTAGTTTACCTTTAGCTGTTAGGTTAGCCAACCTGAGCATTATGTTGCCATATTTAGTTTTTATGTCTCCCATATACGAAATGTTAAATTTTATGGTATTGCTAATAATAATTGCCTATTTTTTATTACAGGATAATAATATGATATATTTGAAATTAATGTTTGTATTATTTTTTTGTTATCGTGACACGAAATTGCTAAACTTTTTTAATTTTATCTCTTTATGAAATCAAGTTCCAAATTTTATCTCTAGAAATCAGGTTATGTTTAAGTTTTGTTCTATTTGATATACTTGCCAATAGTAATATATGTGTCTTTTTTTATCTTATTTAATTGTATAATTATTTATAATTTTATCTTAAATCAATTGCACTCTTTTAGTCCCGTCTTATAACACTATTTCTCACTTCCATAGGTTGGCTGGAAGAGATCTCTTCTATAGAGATAAGTCCACCTTTGCCCACATTAGTCTCTGTATTATTATTATGTTACTCTGTTAATATGCAATAAAGAATATGTAAATTTTCTGGAGCTGGCTAATAATAATGCTTTGGCTAAGTAATTAAAGCCTACCTATTAAATACATACCTAATCAAATATTTTCGAAATCGGTGCCAGCCCATACAAAGCAAAGCACACCGAAAATATTTGATTAGGTATGTATAGTAAATGAAAACTACCAATCAGTTATTTTTTACTTTTTAGTGCTTTTGTTTGAAGTCTGTTTTTATTTTTTGTTAAAAAGTTTTTATTCAACATGTTAACGGATGAAATATCACAAATATTAAAGAAAAAAATATATTAAGAAAAAGCGTTTTTTTATTCCATATTCATGTTTGTCTGTATATTATAATAATTTAAAAAAAGGCGCTGTAAGAAAGCGGAAATTTTTCTTTCCTTTTTTAATTTAGTATCCTACTTAATATGATTAGTGATAATACATAGTAGTAGAGTAAATATAATAAAAAAAAAAACATTTTAAATTTTAATTGTTTAGTTATGGACATCGATTAAGTTTATTCCAGACATACTACAATCACATCTTTTTTCATCCGATTAAGGTAACAGGACTGCTTTCGTCAGACGGACTTTATCTACATTGCACCCAGCACTGCTTAGTGCTTTGTAAATTACACCGGTTTATGTAATTACCATTACATTTAAAGATGTGTCAACGAGTTACTAACTCGAGATAACTCGAGTTGGGCTTAACTCGAATTAACTCGAGTTGAATTCTCTCTGACTCGAATTGGATTTGCGTGGTAAATGAACGAATCAAGCGAGTACGCGATTGACCTTACGCAAACGCGGCAATTCGTTCGTTGTGTTCATGTTTTGTCGTCGTCAGCACTTCAGACTATACATTTATGTTGCAAAATCGCTCCTATTACAACCGAATAAGATGCCACAGTATTTAACTTAATCGTTGTCGTCCGTACTCCCGTCATAGCGTTTCGACCGAATGACAGCGTTATAATATCCATACTAATATTATAAATATGCAAGTATGTTTGTTTGTTTGTCCTTCTTTCACGTCGAAACGTAGTAACGAACTGGGGTAATTTTTTTGGGTCAGCTTTTTACCGCGGAAGATTATCCCATTTCCACGGGGAAACACGTTATAATATAACCAAAAAAAATATTTATGATCAGAATTACTTGAAACTTGGTATTAACGCTCTTCAATACAATTAAATAAATATATTCTTCATTCTTCCAAATTTATCCCGTAAGGGGGTAAAATAGCGGATGAAATTTCGTATGAAACCTACCTTTTTATAGTGTCTTTTGACTTTTGGCGCGAGCGAAAGCGCGGGTTCTGCTAGTAATAATATAAATAAATATAAAAAATATAAATAATTATAATTGTCCCAATAAATACTTATTTAGAATCTGTACCGTTTTTTTAATATTGTTACGAAGCCGAGTCATTAAATTGGTATAAACAAAACAAATCATTCACTTTATTTTTCATCCAGTTAACTCGAGTTACATAACTCGAGTTCAACTCGAGTTACGTGAATTTCAACTCGAGTTAACTCGAGTTATATTTTTTCCGAGTTGGCACATCACTAATAATACATAATATTATTATCCTTTAAATTTTATAATATCATTTGTGAATTATAAATCAATAAAGTATTTATACATCTATATTAAAAATGATTAATAAGGCATTTAAATTAATTTTAAAATAAACTAGCGGCTCACCCTCGCTTCGGTTGGGTTCGTCGCTAGATGCGTTTTAAACAGATGTAAATAATTATTAGAGTTTGTCCATTTTATTATTAGTTTTTTGATAGCTCGACGACTGACAAGTTATAGTGATGTCCTAAAGGACGTAATAATCAATATCGCTTACTTTTTTTTTGTAAAAATATAATGTAATATTTATTTTCATATTTATTCATATGAAAATAAATATTATAATGGTAAAAAATATATATACGTCTGTTGCCATGGTAACCGTTGTTATTGTCTGACAAATGACATATAATATTATATTCTTTCCTTCTTTTCTTTCCATTGCGGACACTTTTACATAGGTGAGAGGTATTTTATCATGCACAGAAAAAAATAGCTTTAATATAAAAAAATAGTTTTAATAGCGTAGCGGAGCGTTAGTCTTGTGTATTTTCGGAAGTCCATACAACTTAGGTGGTTTTGCACATGATGGAATAAGATTTTTAACATCAAGATTTAATGTGTCGGAGTGTTCCTTAATTAGCTTTTTAGTATTATTTAAAACGGTGGTAGATGGATCCGTTTTAACCTTTTTGTACGTGCTCTCGTCCGACAAAAGTTGTTTTATTTTATCATTATAATCTGATGTATCCATCACAACGGTTGCATTTCCTTTGTCTGCGCGTAGAACGGTGATGTCTGACCTATTGCGTAGGTTCTTCAACGCTAAATACTCTTGTTTATTGAGATTTGGTTTGGGCCTAGTACTACGACGTAATAAAGACGAAACATCTTGACGTATGGCTTCCATATCCTCAGTTTTCATAATATTTTGGGCCAGGGCATCTTCAACTGCGCAAATAATGTTTTCATAAGGAATGCGCGTAGGCGTTACAGCAAAATTCAAACCTTTATTTAGTACCCGAATGGTAGGTTCGTCTAACGTTTGTTTTGACAGATTGACAACCTGAGGTCCGCACGAGTGTGTATCTGTGGTAGACGGGCGCGTTCCGTTATACTCTATGGTTTTCTTTTTCTTTTTGATGTTTAATTTTTCAACGAGTTTTTGATATTTAACTCTACGTATAGTTCTGTGAAGTGGAGTATAATTCATTGTAAGTATATAACATCGTTGCCAACAAATGCATAGTTTTTATTCCATAAAGTCAACTATTATTTAGTTCATTAAACATACTAGCGGGCACATTTGAATGGGCACCCCGGTCAAAACATATTGTCCCTTTTATTATTGTATATAAAAAAATGATTTCGATTAAATACGCTATGAACGTAGTAATCTTGCAGTGGGATCTCGATCCAATAATATTGTTTATATAATTTATAGTATATTGAATCCGTCCGTTTGTTTATCTTCACTTAATTATTTCGCTTTGATTTGTTTTTAAAAAATTATAAAAAATACTTTACCAAATTATGTATCCTAAAGGACGGTTGATGTCAGGCAGGCGGCCGGACGTAAAACTTTTTGCCAAATCCTATCAGCCGTACAGAAGATGTACTGCGCCAACCGCAAGTGATTGGGAAATGGGCAGGGAGAAGAATGTATCCTAAAGGACGGTCTAGATGGCGTGTGGCGTAGCATTATTTTAAGCCGTAGTGTGTGTTAAACTAAGACCTCGACAGATGGCGCTAGTGACTCTTGCACTGTGTACTTGCAGGTTACACGTTACTTTCCGTGTGAATATAAATTAGACTGATGCATTGAACACGCCTGCAGCTATCCCCGGTCCTGCTGCCAACGTTGATATCGGAAATAGCACGCTAAGAGTTTGAATAAAAGCCGACATGCATCTGTACAAAATGGGTTCAGGTTCATATAGACTGTTGTCTAGTTCAAAGGACCATAACTTTTGCCCTCAGGAATCATAATATTATTATATTTAAGATTTGCGAAGCCTTGTGCTTTATACTGGATAATGATAATATTATTATCTAATTTTTGTTTTATGATAAATAATTTAGATAAGTAAAATAATTGAATATTAATGTGTTTTTACTAAGTACATTGTGATTTGTGTGTCTTTAATTTTTACACGTTACTCTACTCGACACAGGATATTATCTCAAATCACAATAAAGACGCCAATTTATTCTGTCTGTCTATCGGTCATCACTCAACGCATCACGCGGACGCGGGTGGCCTGATTTAAATGCCATATTTGATATTATTACCCGACTGCGGCGAAGCCCAAAGAGAAGGTTATGTGTTTCACCTGTATGTATATTAAATACATGTCCGAGCATATGTTCTCTATTGTTGATTTTAATGTTTCATACGAAACAGGGGTTTTCATTTAGAATAGATACCAAATCAGATATTTGCGGAATCGGTGCCAGCCGATGCAATACAGTGTACACGTACTCGTAACAAGACGCAGTATGAAGAATTGTAGAAAGGATAAAACATAATATAGGTGTTCTAGCATTGGCCGCGGCTCCGCCCGCGTTTAGATACTAAATTTCATTAAAATCCCTCCAGTGGTTTTTCTGTGAAGCGGTAAAAGACAGACAGACAGACAAAAATTCTAAAAACTATAGATTCGGCCTGTGTATCGATAATAATGTTTATTTCAATAAGATTTTCCAAAAAATATTTAATGTACAGATTCGGCTTCGTTACAATTTTTTTATATGTATAGATCTCCGACTAACTGATATAGTTTCGTTTAAAAAGTTTTGTTTATAATTTGATTATATGAGCATTGTTCACAAAACTAACGAAAATCGTTTATTTTTGGGTTGTAAGTAGTTAAATAGTAAAAAAGTAGTTAAATAGGTTATCAATATCCGCCACAGTGAGAAAGGCGGCGCGGCTGTACTTTTAAAAGCTGCTCCGCTCGTCTGTACTTTGCTTGCTTGTTTTTTCCACAAATGGCTGTCGTATTCGGGGCATCGGCACAAAGGATATAAAACGCTGTCAACACGCGTCGTAAAATACTCCTATTATACTTTTATGTCACAAATGAAGTGTGATGATAAAAAGTTAAATAGGACATTCTTTTCTTTGGTCATCACGATAATGCCATCAATTCTTTAATAATGCTTTATTGTATAGGATGTCGGTTGTAATTATAATGAAATTTATTACATGAAAAACTTTTTTATTTATGTGTAAGCAGTACATATTATACATATAAAGGCAGTTTTGTGAGTACGATGCATTCACGATATTAACAGAATGCATGTAAAATGCATGGTTTCTGAGGTGACTTGGAAGGGGCGGGGGCGGGCGGTCAGCGAGGTCTCCCCGACTCTAGCAAGTTGCTGTTCGCGCTGAATGCTGCTGACCCACTGAACTCGTCTATTTCAACAGCTGTCCCGAACCTTTTGTCACAAAATAAGTCAACCGTTTAGTCATACTATCTATATATCTCTACTACTATAACATCTTTTAGAAATTTCAAACTTTTGAACTACAACAATACTATTCAATACCTACCTCATAAAATCTACTCATGCTAGGAGAGACGGCTGGAGTAGAAACGTTTCTACTTTGTCTATTCAAATGGTGATTTTAAATACTATTGATATCTAATACAGAAAAGACTATAGAGTCTTAAGACTTAAATAACAGTGAATTTATCTTAATAAGTTAAACTGTTTGTGTTTGTATCAAGTAAAATTACTATCTAAATATAATTTTGGCGTACCTTTAGACAAAATAACCCCAAAAAGCGCTTAACGTCACAGAGCGCAGGGCATAGCGCCACATGACAGATCGTAAGAGTCAAGTTATACCGGTGTCAACACCTACTACGTACTGCAAACTTTACCCGCGGCATGCAGTGGTCGCTGTTGAAAAACTTGTATCACACATTAAACAAACATTAGCAGATGTACCGGAGCACACTGACCGCCACAACCACATGCAGCCATTAGGTAACAGTTACGAACAGTGTCCCCAAAACTTAACAGTCAATCCGTACTATTTAGTAAGACATTTATTAATAAAATACTAACTTTTGTTAGCGGTTATATCTAAGCTTTTCGATGAAATAATAGCGCTAGTGAAAGTGGATGTATAAATGGGCTTAACAATTTTATCTTGTATGCCAAGGATTTTTTTCTACGAAAAAATGTACTCATTCTCAAAGTTTCGTTAAAATCGATCCAGTATACTTTTTTTGAAAATACAGGCAGATATCTAATTCGATTTTATTTAGTCTTTCAATTTACCTCGCATCAGCGCGTGCGACCCTACTTGTATCACAGTGCCATGTTTGTTACTCCGGGTAATATGTAGTAATTATTTGTGTGATGTTAAATTTAAGCCAAATTCTTCTATCTGTATAAGCGTAAAGAAGTAACCAACTTATACATGCATATTGCACACGCACACGCTTGCTCGCACACACACACACACACACACACGCACACATGCACGCACGCACGCGCACACTATCACATAATTAATATTAGTCCGATATATATAGCTTTAGTCACTTTCTTTTTAAGTGTTGCCATTCATGACCAGATGTTGCAAAATTATTTTTATTATTTAAGTGCCAAATTTCAGCTCGATCAACTAAAGGAGAAATAAATAGTATGTAATATGTTGCTCATTTTATACCCTCTATAACTATGAAAGCAGAAAACTTTCTTTTTACCCGAGCGCGGCGAAGCCCAAACGAGGGTTTACATAATTGTATCTAATCTAACAAATCAGTATAATGCATGCAGTACAGGCATTAGCTCGACGATTCAAATTATAAGACTAAGTACTTTATAAGACTGTTTTCTGCAGACAAAGCTCTATTCGATAACAAGTGCATTAGTATGCAGCGTCCTGACGTACAATAAAGCACGCTAGTGAGCGCTTGCTAACATTCGTTACGCGAGATAGCGTTACACTGTCGAAGGACGAGTTAGTATTTGTAGGAAACTGTAAGCTAATTATTAAAATTATCTACATAACTACAAGACAAAATATGTAAAAATATTTTTAATTAATAATGCTTTACAGACATTTTGTGTATACAGACAAATAAAAATGAAGTGTCTGTAATTTAAAAATACAAGTTCAAAGAAAAAGAAAATATTTACCCATTTAAGATATTCATTTTATTGACAGGGATTTATATAAATATGTTTGTATTTTATATATGATGTGTGAAGTATCACCCCAATTATTTTTAAATATTTAAAGATGCACATGAGACACCTACTTACAAAATATCAGCAATGTACCCTAGCTTAGGCTTACCGCGCTCTAGATAGACAGGCTGCGACGACCGATAATGTAGTGAAGTAATTAATATTACAGTAATAGTAAGATATATTGAGTAGCCAACTATAGCAGAAATATTTGCCCATTATATTATTGAAACTAGCAAAAGCTTCCACACGTATTAACTATAGATTTATTTAAATTAAATTGACGATTCTCAAGAAATTGTTATCAATTATAATTTATATTTAAATATATTACGAGTATATAATGAATTGAATTTGAGCTTTTTCTTACCTACAAGAATCGGTCACAATACACTGCAATATATAGAGTAGCAGTAGCAGTAGTATACGGGTCATAGAGTCCTATGCGACAGGAAACCGATATCGAATATCAACGTAGCATTAATATTATGTCAGTTTCTATGTAGTTTTCAATTAGCGCTACTAATCATTGCAGAATGGTTACTTAGTAGGTGAAATAAATGTTCTTCCATTATTTCAATAATTTCATGTTTCTTCATGATGAATGCGCAACCAAAACAATATTTATATTGATGTTCTTTTTATGCTGTCTACTTTGCGACACTACAATCTGAGTAAAAGCTTATTTATCTCAATACTTCAGAAACCCAATAACGACTTGCGAGTCAATGTGAGATCACGACAAGATTTGGTAGGAGATAGATAGATACAGAATTGGCAGAATAAAAAAAAATGTGTCTATTATAGCTTCGAGCAGCCGTGAAGTTGTTCAAAGGGCCGCTGGCGTGCGATGAGGGACTGTGTGGGGGGTGTGAGGGGCAGGCAAGGAGAGGGGGGGGGGGAGATGAAGGGCACGCCAAGTAATCAAATTTTCACGGCGAGGATCAGTCGCGCCAATGCGCTGCCACCAGCTATTACGAAGGTTAATTTCCAACTGACATTGAATAAAATGCTTTTGTCGAGGAGATGAATGAAATAATGTTACGTATAATAATATTACGCATCTTTTGTATAATTGTAATAATTTGTTATGTCTTACATTTTGTAAAGAAAATGTACATTCTACATAGGAAATATTACAATGACATGAACTATAGCAAATAAGAAAAGGACGTATTCGATGCGAGCAGAGGGAGGCGCCAGAGTCTGGTGCGAGCGAGGTGCAAATAAAATAAATCGCTAGTGCAAGGAGTTACGAGGCTAGGTGTTTTTTATCGCACGTCGCATCTCACGCCGCGCGCTGGCTAAAAGCTTTTATTGGCAACGCGGGCTTCTCTTTGTTCCGACTCAATTATTGCTCACTCGATTTCTTCCTCACTCTTTTAGTTACCTATAGAGTGTAGACTACAGTGCCTCGTGCGCCCTCATCCGGGTCCGGCTGGAAATTACAATTTTATATTTGTAAATATTCTTTATTGTTTAAACAACATTAGCGCTTATGGCGACTTTTTCGTTATAATTTCTGTATATTTTATTATAAATTTGTCCCATTAAAAGTTTTCGTGTCTTTTGAGTCAGTAAAAATATTTTTTTATTTATCCTTAGAAATTATTCGAATTCTTTAATAATTATTACATTCTAACTATGCAATTTGAAATAAACAATTTTAATAATACTCGTCTATTAGTTGTATGAACAAAGTTGTTGAATAGTTACAAGCGAGCACATAGCTCATGAGCAGGCGCGGGCTCTGTGCGGCGTCGCATTGTTTCTCTTTATCGAACACGCTTTTATTGCTCCAAACTTTGCCTGCTCCGCATTCATAACTCGCGAGCTGTGACGCGTCTGACTCGCGTCGGCAGCGTTGCTACATACAGCCAGTGTGTAGGCCGTTTATAAACCACTGCGATTTCATATTTTGCAAGGAAACAAAACATAGCATTATTTTAGTATCATATCCGAAATAAATTGCAAAGAAAATCTGGAGAAATATACTAATATAGTGTTAATACCTATTTAGTATTTATTAGAATATACTATAATAATATAATATTATGCTTATGAATAAGTGCTCTCATTTTGTCGTATGTAGATTTGTTTTGTAGAAACCTTGTCTGGCGTCAATGTTTGTCGAGTTTCCCGAACGACCAACACCTGAAAGTGTTCCCCAATTTTAGTAACACTTATAGAGCAAGATCGGCTGCAGTTTAGTATATGAGACGCGGCCCCTGGAGGAGTGGGTGGTATTTTTGGATAGGGGAGATGATAGAGAGTCCAAATATATAAAAATTATTTTGAGGAAACAAAAGAGTCAAAAGTTATTGAGACTTAAAGTTACAACATTTCCATACATTATTTAGACATTTTTGCCATTTAGAGTTTAGTCACTTGGAAATATCAAAATGTCACTTTCAATTGTCAAAATGATCTCCAGATGATGAACAGATCTATCACCGAATTTTAAATGAACATAAAGCATAGATTGGGTAGTGTTAGTATGTACTAAGATCGCATGCCTACCTGCGAGCTTGGTGAAACGGCCAATTTCCAGATAATCAAGGTACATAAAAACATTACTTACCTCATGTAAATTCTACAAGCTGATTTTTAACCGACTTCCAAAAACGAGGAGGTTATCAATTCGTCGGAATCTTTTTTTTTATGTATGTTTACCGATTACTCGAAGACGCCTGAATCGATTTGGAAAATTTTTGTTTTGTTTGAAAGGGTATACTTCCCAGGTGGTCCCATATAAATTTTATCGAAACCGGTCGAGCGGATTTTAAAAAATGAACAATAAATATATTTTTTACACAAATTGCTTAATCGAATATGTTATTAAAAACTTTCTTCCTACAAATTACCTGTTTATTACGTCTACACTAAAAATTAAAAAATAAAAACTTTTTAACAACAAATAAAACAGACTTCCAGGCACTAAAATGTAAAAAATAACTAAACTTTTCGAAGTCGGTGCCAGGATAATATTTTAAGATATGAATATCTAATAGGTAAATATGTATTTTACGTATCAAAATATATTAGATTTCCTATGCGTCGGCTGGCACCGACTTCAAAAATATCTGATTAGGTATCTATTCTAAATGAAAGCCCCCGTTTAGTTATTTTTTACATTTTAGTGCTTGGAAGTCGGTTTTATTTTTTGTTAAAAAGTTTTTTTCGTATATTTTAGACAATATCGTTAAAAATAAGTGGCCAATACTCCCAGACACTTTCCGTCGGCCGTGTTGCTTTGCAGACGCTTTAAAAGACCCAAAATAATTACTTAACTTCACGTAAATTCCGATGCTCCATTTTTATATATGTTCGCTAGACAACTATTTTAAAACCCTTTACAAGAAGACAGACCAATCCAAGGGGCCAATCAACCCCTAAACTCAATTTTCCTACCCACAGAGGCATTAAACACAAAAACAATATTTTGACATTTATGTTTTAGTTATATTAACTGACATCAAACTAACTTCAATTGTTTTGTTTTAAGATTTCTTATTCCATGTTCACTACAGCCGCTACCCCTACACTAAGATTAAAAAATAAAATCTTTAAAATATAATATTTTATTCGACTTTAATGCACTTATAATTACTTTTGAACTAATTATGTTTATTTTCCTTTCGCGGTTTCGCTCGCGCTAAAACTGCAAAAAATCTCTGAAAAGGTAGTTTCATAGAAAATTTCATCCCCTATTTAATCCCCTTATACGATGAATTTCGAATAATGCTAAAACACGTATTTATTTAATTTTATTGACTAGCATTATTAACCAACTTTCAATTAATTCTGATCATAAGTATTTTTTTGGATTGTATTATAACGTGTTCTCTCGTGGGAATTAGATGATCCCCGCGGTAAAAAGTAGCCTGTCACTCTCCAGCCCTCCAACTATCTCCACACAAAAATTCACGCCAATCCGATACTCCGTTTTGACGTGAAAGAAGTTGAAAAATTCCATTCGACTCTCCTTGAACATCTGCGACTTTTAAAATTACAACATAAAGACGAACCCATTGTGAACCTTATGCCTTACGCTTTAATAGCTTACAATAGTTCTATACACAGTTTCACGAGATGTAGACCCTTTGATTTGTTAAACGGACACTTTGACCCTAGAGACTGCCTTGACATTGACCTTACTCAACAAACGTTACAGCAATACTTACAGACACATAAAGAACAGATGAAAAAAGTATATGACATCGTTAACCAATCGTCCCTTAGTAACCGAACGACCCTTATCGAGAATAGGAATCAGACACGCGAACCTGAGATAGAGTATGCACCCGATCAGCAGATCTTTGTAAGGAACCCATTAGCTGAAAGACAAAAAACAGCCCCAAGATATACACAGGACACTGTCCTTGCCGATTTACCTATACATATTTACACTAAAAAGAAACGTGGCCCTATAGCAAAGTCGCGACTAAAGCGAATCCCTAAAGCAGCGAATTTGTTACAGAATCCTGGTGCTCATGATACTACCCCTGGTACATCTTCAGGAAATTAAATTCGAGAGTCTTGATGATGGACCTGGAATACTTCCCTACAAACTTGGACCGATGAAAACAACGACACATTACCACACATTCTTACAATACATAAAACTCGACGACATAGAAGATAAAACACACAGTCTACAAAACCATTTGCACAATTACAAAAATCAATTACCTAATGACACTTATTCAGTATATGAAATTCAAATAAATTACTTGCTCAACAAATTAGATGACATATTATATCAAATTAAATCCTTACAACCCAACAGGTCTAAAAGAGGGATTATTGATGGACTCGGAACAGTTATAAAAAGTATTACAGGAAACTTAGATTATACGGATGCTTTAAGGTATAATGAAGCTATAAAATTATTAGAAAGTAATCAGGAAGAAATTACAAATGAACTTAATAATCGGTTAAGCATAAGCAAAGAATGGATCACTAAATATAATAGCGTTTTGACTCAACTAGTAGAAAATCAAAGTAAAATTAATAGCACCTTAATGTTAATACTTTCTAACAATATAGATAATACAACTTTAATTAAATATGCCAAATTTGCCCAACTTTTAGTAATACTAAGTGAAAACATAGACGATTTAATGAACGAATTACTAAGAATAGAAAATAGTTTAGCTTTTATTCATGCATCAAGCATGCACCATTCCATGATTAGTATAGATGTATTAAGTTCAATGATAGATAAGCTTAAGAATATCTACGGAAAAGAGTGTATTTTAAATTTAGAATTAAGAGAATATTATAATATAATCCAACCAGCTTCCTATTATGCTAATAAGCAAATAGTTTTTATATTCCGATTTCCTATTATTTCTAAGGATAATTTTTTATTATATAGATTAGCAGTAGTACCTAATAAAAAATCGCAGGCTCTCATCCCATCCTCTCCTTTCATTGCAACTAACGAGAATTCATTCGTGTACATAGAGACCAAATGCCCGAGACATAGCAGCTGGTATCTCTGTGAAATGGAACTCAATCATCAGATTCGTACAAATTCAGATTGTATCCACGAGCTAATTGTTAAACAGATTTTGAAGGAATCTTGTCACTTAACTACAGTCAATCTTCTACGAGAATCAATGGAGAAACTAGACGATATGCACTACCTTATATCGTTCCCCCAGCATCAAAAGATACAAATATCATGCGGTAAACAGGAATTCACTTCATTAAAAGGCAGCTACCTAATAACTATTCCCCTAGGATGCAAAATCATATCCGAAGAATTTACGTTAATTAATGACAACAACGAAGTAAGAGGACAGCCCTTAAAATTGATGAAGATACCCGATGAAATTGCGCACCTAGATACAACTATTAATATATCATCTATAAATATCCAAGGACTCCATAGACTCAAGGACAAAATTATGATA